ACTATTAACATAATTTTGGTCCTATTTGCTGCTTAATAACATTTTTAAAAGTAATATAAATTATATCTTCATGCTAACAATTTGTTTCTTTATTTGAGAGAAATTAAACAGTGTTCTCCCTTTCTGGAGTGTTGCAGTTTGAATTTTTGTTTTTGTAGGCAACAAAAATACAGACCTGTTAAAGCTAATCTTTTTAGGCTGAATTTTTAACTCCTTCATCAATATTTTAAATCACTGAGTAGGAAACACAGTGAATTTTTCTAGCTGATAAGAAAATCAGCCCAGAAATATTTGATGAGTGTTCTCAAAAAAATACTTGCAAAACAATGGCACCAGCACAGAAAAATTAAGCATTGTATAATTATTTCTCTTTCCATTTTGTTCTATGTTATAATATGCCAAATCTTTCTTTTTCAATGTTGGATAAATTACCAAAAAAAGCATGTAAAGTTTTTTGATTATGCGATCATAAAACACTGCACGCAAATGGATTGTGAACGGATTTGTGTCTTAGTCCTCTTATGAGCACTAAGTTCCGGGTGCTAGTAAGTTATATGTGAGGCTCTGGTAGGTGGGGGTCCCTAGAGCCTGGAAATCAGGACATTCACTTGCTGCTCACTGTTTCTCCTCGGCAGTGCCTGCCACCACCAAGTCTCCACTATTTAGCTGGTATAAATTAAGCATTCCAGAAATGACAATGCTTGACAACCAAAAGTGTAAAATAGTAAACAATTAACAATCAAAATAAAGAAACAGCTGTTACTTTCATTTTATATAAAATTATATCTAATTTACAATAAATGCCAATTAAAATTATTAACCAATATACATAAATCTCCTTTGCCTCGTTGTCAAATATCTATGTAGATTGTAAAATTCTTTAAGGTTTTGGAAGGGATTCTTAAAGGTTTTCCCTTTTTTTCTTTTTTAAATCTCAGTCATGAATCAGTAAATCCTTGAGCACACTGTTACATTCTACTCAGTAAAGGTAACTGTATCATCAGAGTGAAGTGAGAAGGTATTAGTAGGGTTAGCAGCGTTGCTGTGCTAATGGTTATCTCCATTAAATCTAATGATCACAAAAAACTCAATGGGACTTGATCTTACAATCATCAATAATCACTCAGATTAGCATGTTAAAAGCTCTAATGTACAGAGATATGACAAAATGTAATTTTAAAAGCAGTGACTTCTCATTTGGTTGTTGAGAGGAAAGGATTAAGTAGTGGATGAATACCTGTCAACTGACACCTAGAAATGTCACTGTTACTAATGCATTATAATGACTTGCTGAATATACCCCTTATACCAGGAGAATAGCCCATCTTGCTACTTCTTTATTACCATTTTCCTTCATCTTTGAAATTATTGCAACTTAAGTGATAGGAGGTTCATTTTTAAAAGGTGATTTGTGATGGTCTGAGATACCAACCAACCCACATTTCACTTATGGCTGTATATCAGCTCTCTAGGTTTTCTGCTACATTAGAGAAGTTACTAAAACCTTGCTTTACTGATTAATGGTGCTCTGCCATTTAATCAAGTAGTTAGACCTTCACTGCCTACAGTAGAAGAGAATGCATTATTTTTGTCAATTCCATATGAAGGGTATATCTTTTTGCATTTAAAATTACATGATTTCCTTGAACTGTTTTTCTCACTTTACATCAACACTAATAAAATGTTATCCCACAAGATCAGTGCTTTTTTCAGCTAACAAAGATTTACTGAGAGTCTGCTCTATGCTAACTCTTATGCATGGAGCTGAGAATTCAATAAGCTTCAGCTTGTCCCCGGGGAACTGTGCCCAGGACAGACTCACACACTCCATTACGGTGCCAGGGGACAGTTTAATGTCAGTTCGGGCTGCCAGGGGAGCACAGAGAGGGATGCAGGACTACCGGGAAGAGACAGGAGAGGATGTCCTGGGTGGCGAGATTGAATTCTAAGTGATGACAAACGGCCCTCAGCAGCACAAGGCAGGGGAAGAGAAACAGTGCAGAGTGGCCCTGACATCGGGTGAAAAATGCGTGGCAGTTATGAGCACAGACTGCCCGGGTTGCACCTTGGAAACCGACTTAACTCCCCACGCCTTGGTTTGCCCATCTGTAGAAAGAGCATCACGTGGACATCTACAAAGGATCGCCATGAAGATGCATGAGTAATTTTTATAAAACACATGGTAAGACAAGTTTAAAAGTTTGCTGTTCAGCCAGCGAGTGTATAGGGCTCTTCAAGGCAGAAGGAAAGGTGACCAGAGGGCACAGATGAGCCTGAGATCAGCTGGAGGCTGCTGCCAGATTGTGAAGATGAGACCAGTGACCTGCCATTAGTTTAAGGCTCTGAAAAGGACTCACCCGTCACGGGGAGGCTGCAGTCGGTTGCAGTGTGCAGCGGCAAGAGGACCCAGGAGGCTCTGGATGGCACCCCGGGGGCGTGGTATGGGCCTGAGCCAAGGCAGTGGGAGGGTGATGGAGAGAGGGCCCACAGGGGAGGCGCAGCTGGAAACTCGAGGGTGACGGGGCTAGGAGAGAGGTAGCTCTGGGCCTGATGGAAAGAGGCTACACTTTGTGACAGGGAAGGCAGAGAACAGACAGCGTACCTTGTTGGTCTTTTGGGGTTTATAGGCACATCGTAAGTGCTAAAAGTACTCCCTTCCCTCACGAGATCATCACTCTTTTACAAGTTGTGATGACTTGATTTTCAGAAACACTGTAAAGGCTTAACAGTATTTAATTCAACTGCAGAGTCCTGCCACTTGGCTGCAGAGTTTATGGCTCTATCTGATACCCTGAATTTCAATCAAGATATTCAAAATGTGGCAGTTCTCTTTTGGCCAGATAGCTTTGGTTTTCTGTTTTGGAAAATGAAGAGACATTCTGGCTGGCCTCGTTTTCCCCTGGTGTTATGTGACTCTCTGACATCAGCACGCTTATATTCAGCTTCAAACATGTGAACCGGCTGGCACGCGACAGAAGGGGGAACGGCTGAGCTCATGAGCAGGACGTGACAGCTCAGTGACGAGCAATGGCATCTGGACCAGGTGCCTCTTGGAACTGAGAAAAGGCTGCTTCTATTTCTAAAAAGTAGGCAAGTAATTTTTTCACAATTATATAGAAAATGCAAAAATACATACTCAGGGCTCTAAGATACAATCAAGCTGCTATTTATTATCATTAGGATGGTGCAATTGAGTGTCTTTGTTTCCTTCTATTTTTGAATTAGAAGAGTCCCATGCCTACAGAGGAGGCCCTCAGGTAGGGGCAGCATTTGTTTGACTCTTAAGATTTTGTTATTTTAATGATGCTATAGCCTGTATGCGTCAAACTTCCATGCTTACAGGGTTGTCTTCTCCATTCCTGGAGGACTATTACACTTAGCAGGCTGTCAGGGGGTTGACAATGACAGCAGAACTGAGCAACTAAACACTTCAGTTTCAATGTAGGATTCTAAAACATTCTAACCTGTTAAGCAGTAACAAGAGACCACTTCTATCAAAGCTGAGTAACCCATGGTCTTTACAACTTTACTTTCATCTTCACTACCGGCTGTTCATAGCATAGGAAGCAAACTGGTCCAGCAGTGAGGTATTAGATAAAACATTACAACATCTGAACAATTTTCTTTATGTTATGTATCGGTCTTTGTGACCACACAATTCTGAGTCCCGATCATTGGCTCTAACCATCGTGTTTCACAGAGATTTGAATCCTGGAATCCTTGGTCTGGATTTGATTTCATTCTCTAATTTTGAGGCTACAAACCACAAAGTATATTTTGAGGAGGAAAAATAAGCATTTCATAGAAAATATTGCCACTGAGTTTACTCACTAATTTGACTCTACCTGTTTTTCAAAAGATGTATAAAATAGGGAAGTAGGGGTGCTGGTCCTGTTTGCTAATGCACTGTGGGGCCTTAATACTTTTTCTTCATCATTCACTGACTTAGTGAAGAACCAACATCCAGAGGAGAGCAACACTACCCCCAAATGGACATATTCATAAAAATGTTTTTTTCTATGCCAATTTTTCTTTCTTATAATTAGCCAGTTATTATAGTTGACCCTGGCAAAATATTTTAATTAGGCTGTCCATAGATATTTCAATAAACTTGAATTTTTTTTACATTTCAAACATAACCTTGTGTCATTCATGCCTGCCTCCTACTATTTTAAATGTATAGCATGTTCCAGTTGCAGAAATTACCATGGTTACTTGTTATGCCAATAGTGAACTACAGTTGGCACCTAAAAGTATTATTCTATCTTGCTTCTGCATTAAAAATGACATCAACATCTGAATAACTGCAATATTATGAATTAATATGGAATCCTTGAAAAATGTTACTATGAGACAATTGGCCACAGGGTCAGAAGTTTTGGTTTTTTTTTTTTTGGTACTGGGGATTGAACTCAGGACCTTGAGCTTGCGAGGCAGGTGCCAGAACCACTGAGCTAAATCCCCAGCCCCAGGGTCAGAAGTTTTTAAGAGGTGAAACGTATTTCAGGGTTTGTGAGTGGGTTATAGTACACTGATGCTCTCTGAGACCTCATTTTAATGCTAGATGTGGTTAAATCATCAGAACTGTTGCATGTTCACAATCTTTCTCCTTCCTTTCATTTCTGTTCACTCCTCTAGAAGTGCACAGGACTTCAGTACTCCTTTGCGGGGGACGATTCATATTTAACGTGAAATGACAGAACACACACAGTGTGTGGCTTGCTAAAGGTACTCATGTCTAGGCATGGGATCTTGCATTAAGTTGATACGATTAGATCCCTCAATTCTCTGCTGCCCAGCTAAAGTTTTATTAAGGAAGGTTCCAGTTAATACATGGTTTGAAGTTATTATTTAACTACTCTAGCATCAAAAAGTGTTTTAGAAATTCCATCCCTGTCACAAACCTCTCCAGCTCACTTTTTCAAAAGACTTCCTTCCCGGAAGTCCCGGGCGGAACTCTGGCTGCTGATACCCACTGCAGTACACAGGGCTGTACTCACCCGCACTGGTGCCTGCACCGGATGTGAGGTCTCCACCCATCAGACCACCTGCGGAGTAGAGAGGGACATCAGAAGGAGGAAGGCTGAAGGCCCACAGAATAAAACACTCCACCTCTCGCAACCCCAGCATTGTGTCCTCTCCCGAGAGTCATCAACTTGTAAAGTACTACCTAAGTCAGATGGCTGACATTTGTTTTACTGTGACATGCTGTGTTCAAATGTTAAAAATACATTCAATCACTGACATTTTGCACAACCTTTTTTTTTCTTTTCCAGGAAAGATTACATTTTAAAAATCCAGTCTTTGAATAGTGTCTGCATTTTTATTATTTCTAAGTCTAGGTCTTTCCTAAACAGATGCTTCATAGAAAGTTAAAAAAAATAAAAGGTCTACTGGCGGTGTATGTTCTGATAACCACTTACCTTTAGATTTTGTACCATCAATTTTGTAGAATGCTAACTATAAGATTTTGATCATTTCCCAAATCTGCCCATATTCACTACTTGAATTTTACTTGCTGACACAGTGAACGAGTTTTCACTGCCACAAATTTAGACATATGCTTATTCATTGCTAATTTAAGAAAGTTCATTAAAATTTGGCAATGTTTATTTATGAGAGTTGGGATGTTTCAATAAGATGCTGAACATAATAATCACTCTTAGTTTTTAATGAAAGAAGATTTAGCCAAAAATAGTGGGAATATCATCTAGATTTTCTAATTGATTCTAACTAATACTTTCTCATTATTAGTTAGTTCAGGTGTTGGTATTAGAAGAAAATGTTCATTACACTTTAAGAAAATATTTATTATTCTGCATTAAATACTATTTTTGAAATAAAATATCAATTTTTAAAAATGAGCATGAGTTTATCAAGCAGGAAATTCAGCTGCATTTGAATATGATCCAAGAGAATATATACATTGAAAATTCATATGAAAAACTTAAAATAAATTTAAAAAAATAGAGAGAATGACACAATGAAGTTCTTTGTACACATTTCCCAGACTCAAGATTTATTAAGCCTTCTACAGGAAAAATTCTTCCATGAATAAACTACTTTTTATACAGTTTTGTGTGCCTAAGGTATATTAGAAATTTCCTATGGTGTGGGTTTCTTAAAAATAAAATGTGAATACATAATGGTGTACTGATTTAGAATACAATTATTTTTGATGCTACTTCTGGAAATATAAAGGAATATATAGTTACATTCAATGTACATTGAATTAGTTCCCATTGTGAGCCTGGCAAATCAAGAGGGCATTCTTCCCTCCAAGATTCTCTAAATACACTGAAGAAGCAGACACACATTCAACGCAGTGTATCACAATGTATTTAGCTTGATCTGAGTACTAAGTACGGTTGGACTTTTTCTGAGCAATAATTTTATTTTTCTAGTACAGTGTAAAGTGAACAGTAATAAAGGCCTGTTAGAAACGTAGAGATAGATTTGTGCCATGTGTACATGGGTTTATAATGTGCCCTTCATTTCTGAGTCAGCTTTGATTTTATTTCACACTTACAAAATTATGTTATCCTATTTCCCTTCCACCTTCAATCCTTTTGGGATAGGTTATTGTATAAATAAATAAGAATTGATCACAATAACAAATAACTAAATGGGACAAATGCTATCAGAGAACACAGGGGGAAAGGTGGTATTTGGTAGGAGGAAGAAGGAAAACAGCATTTTAAGAGCAGAAGCCAAAGTATGTAGAGAGGATATCTGTCATCTTGTTTGAAAAAGTATGTGGTTAAAACATAGCTACAGGAGGAGATAAGTTACAGTCTGAAAAGATTATGAAAGATTTTGAAACATATGCTAAAGGATTTAGGCTTTATTACAGAAAAGTCCTAACAGTGGGTGGATGTTAAGCAATGAAGGAAATTAAATTGGATACCAAATCTCATGGATAAAACAGCCTTGGCTTTGGCCAGAAAGGTTTCTCTCTTTCCCATGGTGCATAAGCAGCGTCCCCCCGGGTTCATACCTGTGTTGCCCGCACTCGGAGGCCGATGTGTGACGCCCGGAGACATACTGTTTCTCTGCAGAGACGGGTGGGCCAGAGGCAGAAGGTTGGGGTTCCCCAGTGAGCTCACAGGGTTGCTGTACACCAGACTGTTGTGGCTGGACACTGGGATGGAGACTGGCATCTCAAAGTTGGGAGGTGGAACAGCCTGCCAAAACAGGAAACCCGCCCCCAAAATATAGGTAAAAGAAAATTTCCAAATTTCAAACTGCTTGGTATGTAGAAGACCATTAAAAAGAGCTCTCAAAATGCTTGGATCATAAATTGATTTCTTTAATGGGCTTGGAACTCTTTCTTTGCAACTATTAGAAAGGTTTCACTTTTGTTTCAAACAAAGCCCCATTTCATCAGTCTCCATTGTCTCTGAATTCCATTCTATTAAGTAATAATTGTGCATTTGTGATATCTGAATCTGGTGCCAGAAATGACTGCAAGATCAAAGGTTCATGATTGTGATGACTTCACACTGAAAAAGGAGGATTAAAATGCAAACCAGATCCTTTGGCTTAATTGCTTATTGAAGCATATTTATGCAGAAGTTTAATGATACAAAATCATCTCCAGGCATGTGAATAGCACATATAGTTTAATTATTATTTTTAAAAGTCTGTCTCTTAAAAGTAACTTTAATGATAATAGGCATTTGAAGACACAGGTTCCAAAAGAGCACATATCATTCAATAACTCACATTTTAAAGTGATGGCTCAGAAAATATACTGCACTTCACATTTTGTATATATGTACTAACATAAAAGAAAGGCAAGATCTGTATCTCAAGTGAGATAGTTGGCCAATATTCAGTGAACTGAAACTGTGTGGATGTCTACAGTAATTCAGGTCCCTGTTAATGATTTCTGGGAGTATTATTTTGACAACTTAACCAAAACTATGTTTCTCCTTGTGCTAACTGGTTGTAAACACCTCTCTCCCCCTCTCCTTCTCCCTCTCTTTCTCTTCCCCCTAGCATTATAAATGAAAATACTGTCTGAATGTATTGACAGGAGACTCACAGTATCACAGCATACAGCATTTTAAATGTAAAACTACACACACACTCACAGGATTTTCATACCTTCAAGGCTTCTCAACCATGGTGAAAGTTCAAATGCCTGTGTACATATGGCTTAGTTGGTTTGATGTTGTTTTATTCTGTACTATTTTTCACACTTGATCTTACCCAAAAGGCTGAGAAGTGATTATTCTTCACCATTTTTTTGTTCTTTAGTTCTGACATCAACTACCTGTGACTGGCTGATTGGCTGGCCTGCATCTTTTATCATGTCATGTGGTTCCTCTGTATCTACACTGGTGATGATTCAAGTACTGTTCTGTTTATGTTTGGGCTCCTGTATTCTTCTTTTCCTATTTATCTTTTCTTCCATGTTCTGTAAATACTGGTACTGATAAGAGAAAATGTTTTCATCTTATATGTCTAGAAAGTGTGTGAGTGATATATTAATACAGACATTCTCTTCTAGGTCACTCATGGGAACAGGATAACAAAAGAATTTTTGGATGAGCACCATGACACAGTGGAGTATGTTTGTTAAGAAGACAAAGCATGACTGTATCTCCAAATTTCCTTACAAGAAAAGCTGGTGTACACTACCAAGTAAGTGTCCGTAGACTGGGTCCAGTACCATATTCTTCACTAAAGGTCTACTAAGAATGGCTGTTGCATATCTAGGTAAACATGGTGAAGCAATGTCTGGGTGTCCTCCGTGGGACCCTCCAAATGACTCTTCGTCCCCTTCACTCTGGGTGCAGGAGGACACCCCCAGACGGTACTAGCAGGCTCCTGACCTCTGCCTTCAGGTTGGCCAGTGGCACCAGCAGCAGCCCACATAGTCAAGAGGCGAGGTCAGGGACTTGCTTTTCTGCAGCTGCATCCCCCGTGCTGGGCTACAGCTGTGCTGGCAGAAACCGCATTCCTCCCACGAAGGCCAAGCGTCTTTCAGGTCACTGTCTCCTACAGGCACGGGTCTTGCTGTGCTCTGATAATTTCTCCCCCCCGCTTGTTTCTTTAGGCCTAAAGCTCACAGCAGCTTCTAGTTTGCAAGCCCCGGTATACTTCACTACTGTCTCAGACTTCCTTTTACTCTACCCATCTCTACACAACCCTTTTAATGAGCTCTTAACACGCTTTCTCCCGTTAGCCTTGTTGAGTTTGCTACCTGTGTTTTTGCCAGTACTCTGGGTCATAGCAGTAGTACTCTAGGCTGAGAAGACAGTACACTTCAGGCGTGGGAGCATTTTGGGAATCTGCTGTCTCTGAGTTTCACAATGATCGGGCGGCTCGACAACATCCTGCTTCTGGTACCATCATCTTCCACCCGGATCACTGCAGCCACGGCCTTCGAATTGTACCTGCCCCTGCCCTTGTTCTCTTTTTATTTTCAACCTAACAATCAGCCTACTGTTTTAAGAGCCTAAATCAGATGGTGCCACAGCTTTGCTCAAAACTCCAGGAGAGCTCTCATCTCATTCAGAGTAAAAACCCAACTTCTTCTGATGGCCCACGTGCCCCTGTAAGTTCTGGTTTTTACCAGCCTCCGTGTGATCTCATCTCTGTCACCCCGTCCCTTCCTTCCTTATTCTTGACTCACTGCCATGGTGACCTTCATCACTTCCTCTGAATCACTGCTCAGAACTGCGCCTTCTCAGGGAAGCCTGCCTTGACCACTCTCTTGGAAAGTAGCTTAGAATAAGCTTAAAAAGGACCACACTGAAAAGACATTTTCGAAAATCAGTAGGAACATCAGCCTTTCTATGGGAAATCTCAGTTGCAGCCCAGGCTGTGAAATAACTGCCCCTTAACCTGGGAGCATATTCAGTCTCCACAGTCTCCATCTCCTTATCTGAGGCACGGTGCATCCACAAAAAACAGACTGGGAGAATGCAAGGGATGTAGTAGCAGGCAAATGTGCCCGAGAACTTGGCATTATTCTTTTTCTTTTTGATTTTCAAAATTAGGAAACTTAAAAACATCTTATGCTTAAGAAGTTTTGTATAGAAAAGGAAAACCAAGAAATGGTTTAAAGTTCTACACTTGCAGAGATTTCAAGGCCAAGCCCCAAATTTTAAGAATACTCGTCAGGAAGGGAGAATGGGAGGGGATTAAATAAAATGCTGTAGGCAGGATTCACTGTATAATCTGCAGGGCCCAGCTCCAAATGAAAAGGGCTGGGCCTCTTGTTTGAAAAAAAATTAGGAATTTCAAGCCTGTGACAGAGGAGCCCTGAACCAAGCAAAGCCCAAGGACAGGGCGATGCTGGTGTCCTGGGTTGGACAGGCACACGTATCATAGTTCAAAAGCTTTTACTTCTCCCTCTCACCAAAGTGAATCATGGTCACTGGAGTATCCCATTGTAATCTGAAGAGTATTTTGACTCTTGTTCAGCACCAACTGTTTTCCCAAATTTACCACAAAGGAAAGTCCAGCACAAATCAAAAAATATGTTTTAATACAATATTTAGCTAACGGGGCCTCTTTTATTTAATGTGAATAACTGAATGGAATCACTCTCTTTCTTTTTTTTAGAATTTGCCACTCATGATCCCCTTAGACAGTGAACAACTACTACCAGGTGGTAGAACCCTAGCAGAGGAGAAAAGTCACACAGTTCCGATGCCTAGTGATTACCAACTACTGAGGTCTAAATTTCTTCACGGCTCCCAGACACCTGAAAGATCTGCTTGCTCACCCTTGCTCCAGCCTCAGTCCCTCTCCGGATCATTCCCTCTGCATCCCCAAAGGCCCGATACAGCCCATCACGAGCCTCCCAGCCTCGTTCATCTACTTCCCTCCCACTCCAGCTGGTTTCCTCTCCACGCTGCTCAGATTCCCGCCTCCTCTGTCCATTCCCTCCTCTCTTTTGAGGAGTTTTGCCATTTTCTCCCCACCAGACCTGTATGTTCAAACTTTGTCTTTTTCTCAAGCATTCCTGCTCTGCCTATAAACAATCTCAAGTGCTTTGCATTTCCGCTCCCCTCTTGAACCCAGGCATGGCACAGTTTCTCTTCAGTCTATCATCCTGAAGAACATACAGATTTTCTTCCACTTCCTCCCCTCTCTTTCACTTTAACCAATCTTGCATCTGCCTCTGCCTCATTCAGCCCATTTCCTAATTCCTGGTTCCTCAAACGGAACTGTTTTTGCTTGCTGTGAAGCCCAGCATGAACGGGGGCAAACCCGGCATGAGGGAATGCTGGCTGACAAGATTCCAAATCACCCATGAATTATTTCATGTAATTGAGGAATATGGGCATAAATTATACTACTCCAACAGGTGACTGCTATATTAAATTTTCTATTTTAAAAGGGAAACTCTTCAAACTGGGTCTTTGAAATAGAAAAGCAGTCTTGTAATGTTTTTAACGAGGCAGAGACACTCTCCACACACAAGGGCCAGAGTGTCCTTGCCCTGGTGTAAATGTTTTAGCAGCTGTGGAGACTTTCAACAGAACGGACTTGCCGCGGCGGAGAGCCAGGTGCCAAAACTCGGCTTTTCATCACGGAGACACGGGAGACTGTGGCCCGGCCAGCAGAGGTGTGGCTCCTTCTCGCAGCTCTGCCTCGCAACTTTCATGTGGTTTCTCAGCCCCTGCTGCACACCACGGTACCTCTTAGGAAATCATGTATCTTGATTTGGAACTCTTTACATGACAGGGTGAAATACTGAGAAGGTATCCGGGTGCACATCACACTGCCTCTGCCCCATAAGAGATAGGAGAAATGAGCCAATGTCCATCCCTCTGGAAGTCTGGAGGTGAAATCTCTTCCACAGCCAGGATCACCTGACAGTGAAGAGCAGTATTGCACATATTTGCTTTCTTTAATTGTGCAGGGGATTTCTCTTATCAGAGACAGCTCATGTACTTTGCCTTAGAATTCTACACTCACAAACCTCTGTACACAGCAATTCCAAACTAGCATGTTATACAGCAAAAGAAATCGAGACCATAAGAATTAAAAATTAGTTGAAAGCAGCTATTTCTTCCCTTCTTATGGGCAAGATAAAATCCCAATGGCTATTGTGTCGTTTAAGGGTTTTGAGTGTTGTTAAGAAGCATGCGTGGTGCTCCATGAGAAGAAAAAGTTCCTCGGATAAAGTGTGAATGTGCTGCATATGGTGCTCAGTTTTATGAAACCTTTAAGAATTTATAGCACAGAGCTTTCCTTCATAATGCAGTGTATTAATAATTCTGATTCAACAAAAGCTGTGCCACTGACATTATTTCATTTAACAAAAGAACATGACATGTATCTATGAGGATAGAAAATTAAATTTGCATACATTTTATAGATAAATTTTACAGGGTTCCACTTAATTCAACGAAGTTTGAGTGTGCACCTACTATGGGAAAGCATTAATTCACCTTGTGAATGCAGTCATAGGTTGGGCCTACAGCTTTTGTCTCCAAATATCTACAAAGTATAATTAACAAAGCAAATTTTCACTACCAAGGAGCTCTCAATCTTCATATTTGGTGGTTTTGCTAACTTACCAAAACAATGTACTATTTTGAAAAGGAATTCATAACTGACTGAGGAGTTTGTGGACAATTAGGGTTTGGATGCTAATATTAGTTATTCAGAAAGCATATGAGCTTTGAGTTTCATCCCTCTATCCCATAAAATTAACATTGTTTGATCCATGGCAGAATATAATAAAAATATATACTTTCCCCCATACATGGGGGCAAACAAAATAACACATGCGGAGTTACTTCTCTTAAATATCTGGCCAGGCAAATGATTTGTTAGAAATTTTGTGACTTGGTTAAGACAAAATTTAGCCAAATGTTAAAGCATGGAAAATGTTGGTGTAGGCAAAGCGAATAATATTCTGAGAAAGCTTTAATATCACCCCGGCACACAAACGTTGACCTCTTACCATTATGTTTCATGCAGTCTGCTCCCTGCAGTGAGCATTAGCTTTAACCCTTCAGTGCTGCAGTTGAGGTTTGTGTACAGGGAGAGAGCCTGAGGTTTTATTCAGAATTCTGCTTTTCTTGAGGTGCCGATCCTCAGTTTACATGAGAGAATTTCAGTTCTACTAGGGGAATCCTGGCACAGCACACAATGTGTAGTTTATAGCAGATCTTCTCACTTGCTTGGAAGGCGTTTCTGCTCTGGAGTTTTACTAGTGCATTGTGATTTGTGTGAACTGTGTGTTTCAAGGATTGTGTAAACTCAGGGTGTGTCACTCTGATCTTTCTCTTCCTCCTGCAAACTGCTCTACCTCAGAACGAACTTCTCGATGGCAACTCTTGGAGATTACATAAATGCAGCCTCCCATAAGGCTGGCTTTTTAGATGCACAGCCGGCAGGAGGAGATGGCTCTGTCTGATGTGTTTGTTGCCTGTCCTCTGCTTCTTAGAGCAAGCCATCACTGAGGAGGTTAAGGGAGGTTACTGCAGCGGTTATCAGCAGGCCAGCCATCTACCTTTGGTACTTACAGGAATTTTATGACTCTTGATCATATTATCAAATTCTTCATTAATTTTTTTGTATTTTTCTTCAGTGCGTGGGGTGAGTGCATAAGAGAAGTCTGGATCTGGGCTTTCACAACCTTTGTTTTCTTTCTTGTTCAATGCCTGCCAGGTTCAGAGAAATATCAAGAGTAAAAAAAAGGAAGGGCGTTCCGAGTACTTACACACAGTCTTTGCCTGCTGATCATTAGATCAATATCTTCGTTAATTTTCCTGTACTTGTCCTCAGACTCAGGGCTGTGACCTACTGAATCGTCCGCATCGGGATCTGGGCTGTCACAGCCATTAAGGCCCTTCTTTCTCAACGTCTGAAACACATAATTTGGAGAGTTCAAGCCTAGACAGAGGCTGTAAGAGACATTCAGGGCTGTTACAGAAGATCACACAGTCCAGTGTTCCAGGTTATCACACATGTGATGCATTACACCGGGGAAAAGAAATCACAGGTAGAAACCCACAGCTGTTTCCACAAACCGCTCATCACCCGCTTAAAAAAACAACAGGGAAACCCCTTTTGCAACTAAACTCGTCAAAGGGAAAGAGACCCTAAGGACCCAAGTTCTTCCATATGGAATTCTTAAGTACTTCAAGAAATGCCGAGTGACAAACAATCACAGCAGAATACAGAGAGGGCTGGCAAATTACAGTATTCTTTTTTTCCCACAGAAAAATGTGAAGTTAGGATGTTGCACAATGATTTCAGAATCTGAGATGATGACAGAAACAGCAACATTGGGGACACAATGGAACACTATGGGTGGCACTAACGATGTCCTGTCCACATCCCTACCCCGTGCTACTGCTCTTGGCAGCAGAAGGGCGTAAGAGAACCTTGCTGGTATTGCCAGTAGGCACTGATGGAGAAGGCTCAGACACCACGCTCACTTGGAGAGTAACTTTTGTTTGTCAGAGTGCAATGAGTGTGAAAATCTATCCTGAAACTTGTAATACTGAGACGTTATCTTCCTAAATATAGGCTGGAAGAAAAGTCAAAACAACTGACTCTGGGCTTCATTATCCTGAGCTGAGTAAAGCAGCCCCAGAATACCACCCCAGAGGTGGCCGAGTCAGTAACCACCAAGCCCGCTAAATCCTCTGGGTTTCGCCTGAGCAGGGATCAACGAGACTGTCTCCCCATACATGAAAGTGAAAAGTCAGTGCCTTCTCTTGAAGCTCCTGTCTCCCGGCTGTAGGTCTGGTCTAGGCTCAGCTGTCACAGAAGGATAAATACCAAGAGAACATTGTAACAGTTGGAAAAAGTATGAGTCAAAGGTTCTGAGTTTTACTATTTTTTTTCAAGTTGATGGTTGGTTGTCAACTTAATGATACACAATGCGATCTGCAGAGATAATGTTATGTTTTTAGAGATCATAAAACTTCTGATTAATCACACAGCTTGCCATGATAATTGTTAATAGATGAGCAACGTTTCTTAATTTTCCTGGTACTATCAAAATTGGCTACAAAGAGATGTGGAGCTATGGGTTTCTCATTAATAGCAAGTTCAGCAAAGTTCATCTTTATTAAAGATGGAATTCATATACAAATAATGAAAAAGCTGCAACACAAAGCCAAGGAACTGAAAGCTGAGATAACACTCCCTCTTTCATTCATGCAATTGGAGAAAATAAATAAAACAACAGGAGTTTAAAAGGGAGTGTCTGTCTTCAAAATTTAAAACTCCTTGGCTCTTACCAATGTGAAACAAAAGTAATATTACTTAAAATTAATTTCTGAGTCATCAAAGGTTTTTACTGAAAATCGAATGCATCGAAGATACACCATGGGTCTGTAAATATTTATTAATGTTATCGCAGTATAATATAACAAATAAACATATGGTTACAGCTTATTATGTGGTAAAATGTTTGAATATTAAAATGAATATTTTGACACAAGACGACGAAATATACATTTACAATCTTGGGGAATTCATAATTGGTGGGGCCACCTGTCCCCCTATAATGGAGCTACAGCCATCATTTTCATGAAAGTTTTCAAGACATGAGAGTTGCATTCCTTTTGGAGAACTGGTGTATGTCCTGTCTTGGTCATTTTAATCCCTTTCCTCCCTCCCTCCCTTTCCCTTTCCCTTTCCCAGCCATTCTCCATCTCCAAAATGTCTGTGCCCTTGTTCCCACTATCTCTCTCTCCTTTATTTCACTTCTAAAACTTATTTAGATTTTGGGTTTCTCATGTAAAAGAAATCAAGTATTATTTAGCTTTCCGTGTCTGACTTATTTGACTTAACGTTTATAGTCTCAAGAGCCATCTGGTTTTCTGAAAATGACATGATTTCATCCTTCTTTATGGTACAGTCATCATTTTTGGTCCAGAATAAGAAGTCATAGAAGGTTCCTACAATAATATATAAGGGACATCATAATACCTTAGAGTAACAATCACATTTTCTAATTTAACTTCATATATTGTCAGCTCTTTTGTTAGCATTATCACACACACAAGAGCACTCCTCTGGGTGACAGCTATTTGTCATGTTATCACATGTGTTTCTGCTTTGACTTCTACAGATCCTTGAGCTGCTGAGAAAAATTTCTGAGTGTCTTGCATCATATTCCAGATATTCATCATAAGAATTCACTTGTGTAAAAAAATTAGGTAAGATCAGGAAATATATATACATATATTACATATACGTGTGTATAGATAGGTATTTCAAAGGTTATCTAATGTTTCTATCAGACGAAAGATATTTTTATTTAAAGTCTTATATAATGCTAATTTCGAGTCACCATAGACAGTCGATTTTTCAGTGTGCACCAACTCTTTTATTCAATAAATCTTATTGTAAAAACGGTACTTGTTTTGATATGCAGATTTCTGACAACAGAACGCAAGGGTTAGGAGAGGCCTATCAACTGTCATTACAATCCATCTGGCACACACATGCGTGCTAAATATTCCTACAAAGCTTTTGGGGGGTAGATATTGTGTTTGGTTTATAAAAATTCAAACATCAATTACATTTTATTGAAAGAGCTCTACAAATATTAACTCATTATCTCTCACAAGTCTTTTATGAAAAGTTTAGAGACATGTTATGCCGGACCTCGAGCCAGCATGGTGAGCCATGACATGAGCTGGGGACAATTCAGGACGCCCTTTCTCTGTCCAAGCTTCCTCAGACTCATGACCTGTAGCACACACACTAGATCTCTCCCAATCATATCCAACTGCAGTGCTGGACGGAATACTGGACTACATGAAGCAAAATTTTTAAAAAATTAGGCTGTGGAAAAAGTTAAGTATGAATAAAAGGGTAAAATATTGATATTTTTATGCATCAGATTTTAGACAAGAGTGAAGATGTGTAGTAGACAAAGAAATAGTTCATGAATTAAAAAGCCAGTCAGATCAACAATTCACTTTGTACCTGAAGAATTACATAAACTGCTCAGCAAACAAAGCTGATAGTACAGAGTCGCAAAGGAAGTGGTAATGATGAGGGAAAAAAGTAGCAGCTCATTTTCTCCCAATAAATTCTTCTTCTGACAATATTATCTTGTAATAAATATCACTGGTATTTAAATAATGATTTGAGTTAAACTGTGTTACTTTAAAAGGGGCTTTTTGAGATATACAAACACAAAACCCAAGAGCAAATTAATAATGAGTTCCAAATTCCCATAATCACATAACCAGAACACTGAAAAAATTGTTCAAAAATATTATCCTCAGCTGAGTGCTTGTATAACACATTTCTGCCAAGAACAAATGATTATGGCGGAATTATAAAGCTCTGAAAATGGAAAGGATGGCACAAACTTGAATATCATAGCATGAATGTAGAACTAGAAGAGCAGTTTTGTCTTTATTATATTAAAAATCTACAGCTGTTAATGATGACAAAGGAATTACGGTTAGATTCAGCCAAGTCTGTCTATTCACAGTGATGAATAGTCGATATGAACTAAAGGGCTTACTAAATGGATAAATAAGCATTATTCCTGCAGGGCTTTTTCTAGCAAAATCAAAATCTCTGCCATTGGCTTTTGAAAGCTTTTCTGATCCTTTACAAATGTCATCGGTCTGGTCATATAAGCACTTAAATTGTTATTCTATTATACCAGCTAGAGGTCCTGGGTATATATATCTAAGTATGATCTAAAAATAAGATGAATGTTTAAGTTTAAAAGGAATGACATTGCCATTATCCCCCTCTTCAAATGCACTCATCCCATCATTCTTGCCACTCTCTGAAGCAGTCCCAGAAGTCCTCCTTGGTGAGTGTCTCTAATTGCACCATCCCGGCTACGTCTGTGTCCTGAATCCATTCAAAATGTTTATCTCTCATGGTCATTTTGGCTTGGTGGAAGAACCGGAAGTAACACGGTACCAGATCCGGTCAGGAAGGTTGATGAGGGCACACCGTAGTGTTTTTATGAGTTCCCTTTCTGCTGGACAGCGCTGGGGAGCAGCACTCACTGAAATTTTGATCATACTCATAACAACACCCAGGAAAGAGGACTGCCAGAAGTGCTTGCTACAGTGCCAAAAATGATGGTACAAGTGTGTTTGAACAAGAATATTTTGTTTCTTTTCTTTTTTTGTACCGGGGACCGAACTCAGGTCCTTGCACTTGCGAGTCAGGCAGCGGAACCACTGAGCTAAATCCCCAGCCCCTGAGCACGAATATTTTGAGGGGGATTAATGGCAATGGGTCTTTCACTATGATAAATTGAAAAAATTTAAACATTCACTCTTCATTTTGATCACCCGTGTGTGTGTGTGTGTGTGTGTGTGTGTGTGTGTGTCCGGGCGTGTAGATATTTTAAATGCCTTTCAACTATGTTTTAAAAATATTTATTCTGTATGTCAAGATAAGGCAAGAAATCTACCCAAACCACCAGCTTCTCTTGCTCTGTTTCTACAGAACTCTCCTCAGAGAACTCTTAGTCTTGAGTGAGCTGGTAAACTGAAGACAGACTGCCACTTGAGGGTGACACTTCTGGGCTAGATCAATCGGCTGCAGTGGCTTCTTAGGTACACTTATAAAATAGCAATTGTCATACACTGAGCTGGGAACAGCCACTCTTAGGGTAGTAATTAGATTGACAGACGGTGACTTACTCGCAACAATAAATGGGAGAAGGAGTCCAGATAGGTAATCCAAAAACCACGCGGAATCTCTCCTACAGACATGTGGACAGATGGACCTGCGTTATTACATTTGTGCATCGGAAAAACTTGAAATATGTATAAACTGATGGTGATAGGTGACAGGTGCTTCAAAAATTCTAATGAAATAAATGTAGGGGAACAGATTCTATTTTGTTACTGTAGGGAA